CAACAGGCTCCAGTCACCAGCCCCCTCTGCCCCCCAACAGGCTCCAGTCACCAGCCCCCTCTGCCCCCCCCCCAACAGGCTCCCGGCCCCCTCACCCTCTGGGCCCCGCTCCCCTACAGTCTCTCCCCCTCCCTCCCGAGCCCCCTCCCGTGACCTCTCACCCGACCGCTGACCTTTCCCCTCTCCTGACCCCAGCCCCTCGCTTTCCTTCTCTCCCTAGAATGTTTCACACCAGCCAGGGCAGCGGCCGGAGCGAACCACTGGGCTCCCGGAAGAGGGTAGGCTCCCGGCTCCCACAAGCCGCTCCGGGGCCAGTCCCCTTGCCCCGCTAGCGAGCCCAGGGGGTGGGAAAGTTACCCCTTACCGCCCCCCCGCCTTCTAGCAGGCAGATGGACCCTTCCTTCCCTCATGCTCGCCCATTGCCTAGCGGGGGAAAATACACGGAAGTGGGAGCTCTTCCCCCACCCCATCAGGGCATTGGTTTCGCCTGAAGGCTCCGTAACCACGTGGGCGGGAGCGACCCTTCCTAGTACTTCCGTGCAGCCGAGGTCGCCGTTTTGGCTAAGGGTAGTATCACGCGCTGACTCCCAGGCCGCCATCTTGGGTTAGGGCAGTGTGGTTCTGCCTCCAATCCGTTTCGTCTCGGCTGCCATCTTTGGTGAGGGCAGCAATGCTCGTCCCATCTGCAGACACAAACCGTGCGTGACAGCAACTTCCTTTCTACCCGCCCTTCTCAGGTTGCCATCTTGGAAGAGGGCAGCTGGCCAGCCTGGTGCAGAGCAGTGGTGCAGACCATTGGTTGTGGTATTGTGTCTCCATCACTGGCCAGTGCCTTGTTGCTTCAGAGGAAAGTGAGGGGGCCCTTCATGGCCCTCAGATACTTTACTATTAGGTGCTTGATATGTAAGATGGCAATAGAGAATTTGCTGGATAAGTGGGTGTGCAGTCTGGAGCCAGCTAGATAAATGGGCAAGTATGGAGATAGCCTGATGGATAGATTAGTAAATATCTATAGATTGGGCAACGGGTAAGTAGGTAGGGAGTTAGATAGATGCCATAGGGTGAGACAGCTAATATATATCATATGGTCAGTTGTGCAGATTTGTACATTTGCAAGCAGACCTCCCTCCCCCCATTCTAGCCCCCTATTAACTGGCTGCTAAACTACAGCAAGAGGGTGGATCCTCTACTCTTCTCTCTACCTAGTGGTTACAAATGATCAGACAGATGACCCTCAAGGTGAAAGATGGCAGCATTGTTAATGCTTATAGTTTTATGGTAAGTCTTACAATTTTTTTTTTTTTTTTTTTACTTTAAGGCCCAGCTCTTGGAAACAACTGAATACATGAAAATTCCAGCTGTCATTTTTAATAAGTTAGTTTTTAGCCCTCATGGTTAGTGAGGAAAGCTTGAAATTGTGAGCCAAGTGAGCCCTAACAGCTTGAAAACCAGAAGACAATCTAAAGTTCATTGCTAATTTTTGCATCTCATTATTTTGGGGTCTAACATAATATTTGAACAGTTGGGCTTGGCACTGCTCTATAGACAAAGGCAAGTTTATATCGCAATACATAAGTTATATAGCCCTGTCTGGGATGATTTAGTTGGGGTTGGTCCTGCTTTGAGCAGGGGGTTGGACTAGATGACCTCCTGAGGTCTCTTCCAACCCTGATATTCTATGATTCTATGGTAGAACCTCCCTACTTTGCTCTCCTCCTTTTTTACCACGTGCTCCTGCTTATGGAGGTAGACAGAGCATCTCGGAGAGTGAAAAGGTTAGGGGGACTAGCTTGGCCTTGAGTCAGCCTTTTCCACCCACCAGTCTGGTGTCAGACACCCACTCCCTTCCTGACTGCAATTATGGTGCCCCTGTGCCTTGGTGACAAGGAGCCTGTGGGATTTGCCCCTGTG